GAATAAATTCGTCTCGTCCACATCCATAATTCCTTGAGGCCAAAATGGCAATGCTAGATCAACGTCTTTGTTTGCTTGTTGAAGAAAATCATCAAGCTTACAATTGACCGTTGCTTTTATATAAGTTACACCTTGATCGAGACAAAGAATTGACGATTCATCTTCAGCAAATCGACCAGCTAAAGGGTAAAGATGTGTTGAAACTCAAACCTTTGCTAGTCAAGAGGACTACTGCTGGATCAGTCAAGAACATTTGTTGCAGTGGGCTTGAATCTCCTTAAAGAGAGCGAGATATCCGTGCCTCATCCTGAAGAGATTTATTTCTTCATTTTTAGTTTCAATTGTAATCTTGTATTTTTTGTTATCTTGTAAGTTTTTCACTAACATAATTAATTATCTCATAAAATATCTCAATTTATGACATAATCTTTAAGTGTAATTAAAATATATCATATCTTATCACACCAATCAAATGATCATTTTAAATAAATAAAAAAATGAATAAAAAAGGATGGAGACACATACAGCTCATCATTATACGCTGCAGCGAGCACCACAGGAAGAAAATATCCCAACATAATTATCTTTCCAAATTCCATCTATGCTATTGGGTTTGTGTGGGCACAGTTAGCCCATGATTATTTTAGTGATGTGATTGACGGTGGATTTTTGTGCAAAGCTATTGCGTAACCCTCTGTAGAGAGTTGTGAGAGAAATATGTGAAGCCTTGTCATTTTTTAGACATATTTTGGGCTATTAGGAGTTATATCTCCGTCATATCACTCTAAAAATGGTGAGACTGTACGTACTGTTCCACCAACTCCCTAAGGAGGGTACCATAAAGGTTCGCAAAAAAAATCGTTCGGAAGTCATATCACCAAATTATTCATGGAATAACACACACAAAAAATTAAGAAAATCACATAATTCCTGTAAATTGGTCTCTAAATGCCTAAAGTTCACTCTAAAAAATGTGAAATTGTACGTAATGCTCCCCAACTCCCTACGGAGGATTCCATACAGGTTTCCTAACATAGGAAGAGAGGGGAGTGAGAGAGGAAGAAAGGGGAGCAAGAGATGAGAGATGCGAGCGAGAGAGTCAGTGTATATATCCTAGATACATGTGAATCCACAACTAAATGTTATTTAACGACTTTTGAAAGTCGCCACTAAATAGTGATTTTTTGTAGCGAACATTCGCTACTACAAGTAAACAAAAATGCTAACAAAAATCTTACATTATTTATTTTAGTACAATCCTTGCTACAACTTAAAATGCTACTTAATTATAGTCAAAGCGTGTTCATAGAAAATGAAAGAACATGAAAATTAAAATGAAGGGAGTACAAATTAAATGAAAGAACATGAAAATTAAACCCTAAAATTTAGCAAAATCTATGATATCTTGGTCACATGCAAGTTTATCCATGTACTTTTCCTCCAAATCCATTTGCACAGCAATTCCAGTCTCACATTCAGTATCATACAACCAAAATCCGGAAAATTTGGCCAGAATTTGGTTAGAAATTTTCAAAAGTCTATAATATCCTTTTTATTTTTAAAAAAACTGATTTTTTTAAATTTTTTTTAATTAAATGGTATTAAAGTTAAAATGGTAAAAATGTTCAAAAAGATAAAATAACATAGTGTGAAATATGTTATTTTACCATTCTGGCCAAAAGAATTTTTCCATTTTATAATGATGAAATATAAATTATTCATTTACATAGTAATATAATTAATTATCTCATAAAATATCTCAATTTATGACATAATCTTTAAGTGTAATTAAAATATATCATATCTTATCACACCTATGGAACGATCATTTTAAATTTAAAAAAATGAATGAAAAAAGATGGAGACATATACAGCTCATCATTGTACGCTGCAGCGAGCACCACAGGAAGAAAATATCCCAACATAATTATCTTTCCAAATTCCATCTATGCTATTGGGTTTGTGTGGACACAGTTAATTCATGAATATTTTGGTGATGTGACTGACGGTTGATTTTTGTGCAAAGTCATTACGGAACCCTCTGTAGAGAGTTGTGAGAGAAATATGTGAAGTCTTGTCATTTTTTAGACATATTTTGGGCTATTAGGAGTTATATCTCCGTCATATCACTCTAAAAATAGTGAGACTGTACGTAATGCTCCACCAACTCCCTACGGAAGGTACCATAAAGGTTCACAAAAAAAATCGTTCGGAAGTCATATCACCAAATTATTCATGGAATAACACACACACAAAATTAAGAAAATCTTGGTCTTTAAATGCCCAAAGTTCACTCTAAAAAATGTGAGATTGTACGTAATGCTCCCCCAACTCCCAACGGAGGATTCCATAAAGGTTTCCTAACATAGGAAGAGAGGGGAGCGAGAAAGGAAGAAAGGGGAGCAAGAGATGAGAGATGCGAGCGAGAGAATCAATGTATATCCTAGATACATGTGAATCCATAATCAAATGTTATTTAACGACTTTTGGAAGTCGCCACTAAATGGTAAAATTCCGAATATTGTAATGTAGTGTATTTAAGTAGTTAGTTCTTAACTAGTAACATTTTTGTAAGTTTCTTTTTCAAGTCGTAATATCTTCTATAAGCAACATGTCTTATAGTCTACTAGGTGAAAAAACTCAACTTCCTTGATTAAGAAATATTCCTCATGTATACGATTGACCTTCATTTGGTAGAAAATCTATGCATTTTTTCGTCCCCTTCCTTCCGTTGCAAATACAAAACGCCATCAGAGTGCAGCGTAGTTGAAATGTCATATGTAATACTTCAAGGACCATGGTCTTGATCTTCCATTTCTTCAAGTATAACATACTTGGTAGCTGCATTTCCTAATGGTGATCCAGTTTCATCTTCACTTGTGCTACCTTTATGAATTTTTTCATACATGAGTAGCGAAAATGGAAAAATTACGACTTCAACACATGCCATTAAACCATGCCAAAGTCACATTTTTGACTAAAACGGGCTCGATATCAACAATTTGATTGAACTACTATAGCTTAAGTAAACATACAGTCGTTTTGATTTAGGACGACTAAACTGCTAGGAACAGTTTAAACACTCCAACTTTGAGAACGCACATTCAGACACATCAACTCGTCTCCACTGTGTCAGTTGAACACTCAGATCATTTCTAAACGAACTAAGCCTATTAGAAGGCTTCATTTTCACTATGAGATGGAAAATCCACAAATTGAACTGATACCAGTGCTTGGACACATACATACCATAAAGAAAGCCAAAGTTCCGCCAAAAAGCATCAACAAACAACTTCTAGCTATATGCCATGACGTATCAAAGTAATTGGTGTGTCTGAATTCGTGCCACGGATCAAAAATAAGGGACAACACAGCAGTTGAAAGAGTCATTACCGGAGTAACATAGCTCATTAGTGTGAGTGGATTTTTTAAACCTGCAATAACCAAAGCATGCATTTCATTACACAATTTATTCACAAACTATAAAACAAATAACAAATCAACATATTAATTTGGTCAAAACTAGGACTAAGACAAAGCAGGGTTTGAGCTATGGAATTAGCCGCTGATTTGTATCAGGGTAGGCTGCCTACATCATGCTCTCTTGAGGTGTGGCCCTACCTTGGACCCTGCGTGAATGTGAGATGCTTCGTGCATCGAACTGCCCTTTTAAAACAAGATCAGATTTGATGTAGTCTAAGTAGTGGTGCAGTCGCTGCTGCTACGACTGCTAATAATAATGATGGTGATAATAACATTTCCAGAATATTTAAAATTTGCTAAGAGTTGTTCATAGTCATTACCATAGGCTTCTTTCTTTATGCCAGTTTTATGTTCAGCACAACCAGTTGGATATGGGAAAACAAACAGAAAAATACACAAAGTAAGCAAACATACTATTGACAAAACAACGGAACGAGAAATAAATTATAACAATGCAACGAATGTCACAAAATCCAACCTGCAGAAGAATCTGAGTCATAGTCCAGCGAAATCCAGACATAACTGCAGCAAGCATAACAAAGACAAATCCCAAAACTCAAATTCTGTCTCCTTTGCAACTGCATTATCAGAAAATGGAGTCAGACTTATCTACCAAACGGATGTAAATTAACAAATGACACAGTTATCAACAAGGCGATAAAGCTTACGAAAACACTCATTAAGAAGATTACCTAAGTTTATCCAAATTGTCAATGATAGTTGTGAAACGAGAAAATATTGTACGATAAAGTAAACGTTTTATCTGGTGTACAAGTGAAGGTTACAGATATGATTTATGAATGACAGATGAAGATGAAAATTATGAATACTTCTTCATATATGAGAATAAATAATACAAGAAATGACCAAGATGATCCCCAGCAGCTTTACATTTGGAGACTCCAACCTTACACAAATAATTGAGGCCATGTATTCAGCTTAGATATGAGCCCCGTCAAATGTATCGTATTCATCAAAGATAGTTATTTCATAGACGCTTTCAGGTTTTTAGTCCATAACGAATTAACAATCACATTCTATTAAGTCCTCAATATGGAAAAAAAAGTTGCATTTATGAATAATATTGTTGGATGTACATCTATAACAGAGGATCAAGTAGAAATTCGATGCTTCTGGCCCGCTACCCCCCATAAAAAATCACAATTAAACATAAGAGATCAGTGGTTAAAAGTAGTACCTGAAAGCAAATGCGAAGAATAGGAGAAAGATGGGCAGAGAGTTCGTATCAGAATAAGGAAGGAGAAAACAAAGTAAGAAATCTGTTATTCTTATTGATATTAGACGATTATTTGAGTGGCCCTTGAAGGCTTCGACAATCACACTTACTTTAGTGGCAGAGAGTTGTGACTGCTAAATTTCAAGGTACATAAATGCAAATATTAGAGCCCTCGACGAATATTAAGGGCGTGAGTTTAACAAACATGCTTTCTCAGAGCTCAATTTTTGAAGAAAAATTTGCAGTCTATCAGTATTGACACAAACTGTATGATGCACACCATAGTGGCAAATGTGACTGAGATGAAAACAAGGGATGCATTGCTGAGGTTCACATCCATTGCTGTTGTAAGAGCTGTCGGTACAACTGTGAAAGGCAAAGGCCGTCTATAGTATTAGTCGTGGAAAAAGATTCCTACATAAAGGTTAGAAATGAAAGACATAAGAGATTATATGTCTTGAACTCATGAAGAACTAACTTGGATAAAAATTGAGATTCTCGTACGTAACAGGAACTGCCTCTATTTGTGTACATAAAAGTTCATTTGAAACCATTGTCGATATATCAGTAATAAGCCAATAAGTGTAACATGTGGGCTTAACTAAGTCACAAACTATAGCTAATTGAAGCTGTCAACTCATAAGATGCACATACATTCAAGCTCGTTAATAATCCTACTCTCATCTTCCTATGTTTCGTAAACAAATCCACTGGACAAGTGCATAAACACATTATACACATATTTCCTGCTCTATAATATCATATGCCTTTCAAATACTTTTAGTTTTCTACTCAATCGAAACCAAAGAAAAAAGGGAATTATTAGTCTTAACGTTACCTTTCAAAGAATAGTCTCTCCAAGACATCATCACTGTAGGTTGAAATCGTTGATGCCAAAACCCGGTAATGGCCTTGGACAAAACAGCTTGCATCGCAAAGTGCACAGTGTTTATCAGTAAAGGCACAGGGAACTTCCCTAGTTTATCCCCAAGAAGACTTTTATTGTACCTATTCCCCATGTCAACACATGAGAAGAGCAAACACATCCTTTAAGCTTCAATAAACAACAACAATTACGTCTCAGTCTAAAATAAGCTGGGATCGTCTATATGTGACCAAGTTCCCCACTTAAATTCACCTCAGGACAACACTTTACGAAATAAACATAATCATGAAAAGTACTAGAAGTTCTCTATATTTCCTACTGGCATAAGAAACTCTATCATATAGTCCTACAAACCTCCTAGAAAGCATCGGCCTGAAGTAAATGTATGAACATGAAAAAAATATTTCTGAAGCTTCAATATACAACAACAACAATAACTACTACGTCTCAGTCCTCATTGGTCATGTTCCCCATCTCAATTCATATTAGGCCAACATTTTACGAAATAAAATAGAAAAGTTCTCCACATTTTCTACTGGCATATGAATCTCTAACTGTTTTATTTAAAAATGTATTTTGACTGGTTTAAGAGTCGCCACTTAATTTTTAAGAAAAATCAAGAAAACTATTCATTTTCAAATAGATCAAAACAGTAAATCTATTGAAAACTATTAAGGGGGTTCGGGGTTCTTATTAACATTTCGGGAAGGGTTTGAAAACACCCAAAATGTCCGCTAACTTGCGGTTATCCAACAATTAAAATATTTGGCTAACAATGGGCATGCTTGACTAGTTACCGAATGAACGAATTTTATAACTTAAAATCATTTAAAGAGGAAAAGGGAATATATTATCTAAAATGTCCAAGTAGAGAAAAGCTTCTAATTTTTTTAGAAATTAATTTAGAAAAAAGACAAGTATACTTAGTTATTTTAAGATAAAGTACTATAAGTTAGCTAACTTAAAATGGGTGTCCTTTGGGGAATTATGAGTTAAGAACCTTAAAATTAATTAGCAAATAAGCATGTACTAACAATAAAATTAACACGAAATATATAATAAGGAGAGAGGGAGATTCGGGCCCAAATTGGTTTTTCTGTCCGCCTGGGCCAATATTTTGGGGCCCACTTTCGTTTTGGGCTTTTCGGCCCATTTGAGTCACCTGCACCTGTCCTAGTCTGACATGAAATAAATATCTTTCTTTTGGACCTTAAGCCCAATTTCTCCACCTGTCCTAGGAACTAACAAGTAATAGTAAGTAAAATGGCAAGGACTTAGGCCCAATAATAACAAAATACAATTCCGAATAAATAAAGGTAGGCTTTGGCCCAATCTTTTTCAACTCCCGATTTGGTCCGCTTTTCTTTCAATTTCGAGACCTGTTCGTCGATTTTAAGATCTGGCTGACTCGGATATGTAAAAAAAAAAGACTTGAGCCTTCGCGGCCCTCCCGAAATGCAATAGGGAAGATAAGAGTTCATGGCGAACTCGGGCGGATTTCACATACAAAGACAAATAAAATCATATTAGCATGGGACGAGAAAATTCTAACACATTTTCTAAAAAATGAACAACATTAAGGCGACTAACAACTCAATACGACAAAATCATAATAAGATATTAAGGACTAATCTAATAATCACTACTCGTCGCTAGCTACAATGAGAAAAATGGATAAAGTTATTCTGATACACATTCACAAATACTACTAGGATATAAACAAAGAAATGTGATATGCGAATCGTGAACAAATTCTAGTTTGACCTCGGTCCACTCTCCATTTTCATGCATATACCTTTAAATTGACATTGATTAAATGAATTGTTGAGAATGCAGGCAGCGAACAAATGTTAAGCACTTAAGGCAGAACTCTGGAGTACACATAGAAACTGTTATCAAATGAGATTAATACTATATTTTAAACCAATAAGACTAAGAGATAAATGACTTAGCAAGTTTAACACTACAGTGATCAAACTAACATAACTTAATTACCAATATTGTAGCTATTCTATAAGGAAAATCAAATAATAGGGAGTCAACAAAGGATTCCTATAATTATCATTTATATGTATAAACTAGATAGAATGATATGACAAGTAAAAACAAATGAGATAAAAATAAAAATAAAAATTAATGCATAACAAGTAACTCCTAAATATTATCTAAAGACATATCACATGAAACCAAGAATAATAATAATGACGTAAGATCAAATGAGGAGATGAGATGCTACCGACTTAAGCCTTTTAATATACCGCTTGAGAATTCCATACATATTTTTTTATTATTATTTTTAAGCAAAAATGGATAAACCATAATTAACAAATGCCCCCCCGATTTTGAATAAAAAAAAACACTTAGACCAATTTTAAGTAAAAATAATAATAATAATAATAATAATAATAATAATAATAATAATAATAATAATAATAATAATAATAATAATAATAATAATAATAATAATAATAATAATAATAATAATAATAATAATAATAATAATAATAATAATAATAATAATAATAATAATAATAATAATAATAATAATAATAATAATAATAATAATAATAATAATAATAATAATAATAATAATAATAATAATAATAATAATAATAATAATAATAATAAATACCAAACATACAAACATATTCATTTTTGTTATTTAGTTGGGAATGGTATCATTGGATTCAATGCAACACAGATAGTCATGAAAATCTGAATCATTAGCGGAAATCTTACATTTTAAAACTCAACTGCAAATTTTGCATCAAAAAAAATAAGTAAAACGAAAGCACGGAAGCGGGTCTAACATATCGCTAAAGCAGTAAGGCAACAAAGGGATCCAATAAACAGAGGAAGCCAAGCCATCAGAATGAAAACGCAACTACACTAACAATGACAAACTAGAAAGAGAGCATCTCATGCTTGAAGACGTATTAGGCATACTAATTACAACAAGACAATCATATGATTCAAAACAATACGAAAACTAGGCTAAAAAAAAAGCTATAAATCGGATTTATACATTTAACCAAGACAGTGAAATCAATAACATGATGATCGGTTAGAAATTTAAACCAAACAGACTTTCGAACAAAGGTACGGAAATCGAAATAAAGGATAACGTAAGGATGAAGCCATAGAGATCAACAAAGTGCTCATTTCATACCACTCGGAATCAAACAAGACGTGAAGGAGATACCAAACTCCACACGAAGTACCGAAGTCAAATTCTCGCTATTTCAAGAGATTCAAAATTTCCAGTCGCTCTTAATATTCTTAAAACCCCAATACTTAAATGTCTTACATTTTGAGAGAATAAACTGTGAAAGGAGTGTTTTGAAAAGCTATGAGAGTCAAGAATAAAACAAAACGAGAACCACCACCAACAAAGAATTAACCTTTTATCATTTATACACAAACAATCGAATCACACCAATACATAATACAACTCAGATCTCAAACATCTATTGGAATCTAAACAAATGCGAGAATTGAGAGTTGTATACCTTTTGATGAGCAGCAACTGGGATACAAACGAGCAAGGAAACGATCTTCACCACGAGACTCGAACACGAACGACGGACGAGAATTCCGGGCAGAACCTCAGACTCGAGTGAAGCTTGAGAAAACCGATGCAAAACGAAGTAGTAACGCGATACTCCTATCGAAACTCAATCCTCTTGGCCTTGACTGTGTTTCTGTATATACATGTATGTATTTTAGCTATTTTCTTAACTTACTCTTCGTGTTTTTGCCCCAAAAATTCCTCTAAAAAAAGAGAAACCCGATAGTGAATAAAAATGGGGTTTATATAGTGGGGGAAATTAGGGTTCAGAAAAATGAGGGAAACAGATCAAAAAAATTCGAATAGACAAAGCCCAACTCCAATTTGAATTCAAAATCGTTCACCCCTTTCAGGGAGACAACCTTTTTCTCCAAAATTTGACCCATTCCGAAAGGGGAAAGGGTAGACGGGCGGACTTGATCAATTCAACTCATCCTTAGGCGCGACGTGGATCGATCCCACATCCCCAAGGACTGAGACGCGGCTGGAAGGACAAAATCGCAGGTGCTTTTGCTGCTGCAGGTACAAATTGGAAAGGGACATTGAGGAAGAAGACAAGAAAAATGCAGAGCACTGCCTGCTTTACTGCTTTTCCGTCTGCCTCCGCTTGACTCCGTGAATTAAATCGTTGGAATTTGACGTGTATTGTTGAAGAAGAACGAGCAGCTGTGTTGGGGGTCGGGTCAATTTGGTATGCTGTTGTTCACGTTGGGTTCTTTTGAGAAAAGAAGAAGTGGGTTTTGGGCTTGGGTCAGAAGAATGAAAAGGGTGGGCTTCTAATATTGGGTCAAAAGTTTGGCTAAAAGGGTTTAAGATAATTGGGTCTTGCAAAGGGTTGAAGAAATTGACTAAAATTGCCATATTAATCAATTGAATTTCGATTAGCATTTAGTCGGTGGATTTGATCAATACTTAAACAAGATGAATTTTCATAAATTAATTAAGGAGCTTCTTAATCTTAATGAAATAAAATAATTAACTTAATAAACTAATGATTCAAAATATAAACTACTAATTAACTTAATAAAATATTTAAGTAAAACTAAAATCTTTTGAAACGATTTTCGGTGCTCGATACTACTCCCAAAAATGTACTAGCTCTTATGTTTTTAAAACATATTTCTTCCTGCTGATATGAGATAATTACTCAAAAACTTGCCTGAAGGCTCTTTTGGAAATCTCAGTTTCCAACCTTGCTTCATTTAGGAAATGATAACTCTTTTCTGAAAAACTGGCCCGAAGGCCCCTTTGGAAATCTCAGTTTCCAACCTTGTTTAAATGTAAAAACATTTCCTTAAAAACTGCTTTGGGAATACATAGTTCCCTAATAACTTTGAGAAATGAACTCAACTTTAAACTCTTTACTTGACCTGCAACTTGAGCCTTAGAATGAAGTAAAAACGTTCATTAAAGACTCTCGAACAACTTTGAAAACTTGCTTGAACTAACTTCTTAACCTTGCTTGACTTGACTCTAACTTCTCTTTAACTCGATTCTAACTCGCCTTGAATTGAATTATGGATTCAAGGGATATAATCACCTGTTATGAATGAGTTCTAAACATTTAGATGCAACTTGAAGTGTTGGAGACAACTTGGAAACATAGGTACAATAAGAAATGCAGAAACATGGCCTTGACGGAAGTGATCTACAGACCGTAGGTCCATTCACGGTCCGTAAGTCATGACCGTAGATCAGTAGGCAA